AAAAAAAGTTAACATAGCAGGTAGGACTGCTGTCCTTTGAAAACCCTGCTTGCAAGATTGGCCCTTGTTCTCAGGTATCTGAGAAGTTAGATTTTGGAAGCATTCCTACCATTCTCTAAACTGATAAAAGTGGCTCATTATGCCTCAACTATTTGGACGAAACACATGGCTTGTACAGAACACGTGCTTTGCTGCAGGGAGTCCAGAATTTTGGTACATACCATGCAGAGGGTGCCTACAGGACCTCTCCCCAATAAAAATCAATCTTGAATGAGCTCCCCTGGTAGGCAGTAGTTCACGTGTTGTCACAATTCATTGCTGCAGGGGAATTAAGTGTATTCTGCAAGACTTCATTTGTAAGGGAACTTTCGAAGCTCATGAGGTTTCCCTCAGACTTTGTGCCAGGCATCCTTTTCCTTTGATCTTGTTCTATATAGCCTTTTGCTGTAATAAATCTTAGCTGTGAGTAGGACCATATGCTTGGAGTCCTGTCAGCTCTTCCAGTGAATCGCCAGGGGGTGGTCTTTGGGACTTCCAATGCAAAGTCCTACTTTTATTCCACCTGATATGTGAAAGGTCATGTTTACCCACTTACGTTAAAATACCGTATTTCATGCATTTCTCATACACTGTGAATTGGTAAATGAGTTAATTTTTTTGTAATGTTTTTATTTATGAGAGACAGAGCACAAGTGGGGGAGGGCCAGAGAGAGAGAGGGAGACACAGAATCCAGAGCAGGCTCCAGGCTCTGAGCTGTCAGCACGGAGCCCAATGTGGGGCTCAAAACCACGAACCACGAGATCATGATCTCAGCTGAAGTCGGACACTTAACCAACTGAGCCAACCAGGTGCCCCGTGTTAATTTTTTTTTTTTTTCTTGTGAATTTCTGGGTTCTCAGCTGCTACAAGTTTGCCCAGGCCAAATATCTGCCAGTATATATGGGCCAATATCTGGTACACATTTTAAAAACTGAAATGTATCATATTCCTCTCTCCTCTCTGCACTTGCTAGTAATACCCTTTTGACCACACTAGCAAGATCCTTGGCAAGTATCTTTCCCACTCCTCACGGGACATACTATATTATCCCTTACTGAGTTCATTATTCTGATACCCAGGGTCGAATTAAACTCTAAAGCTGCTATTTAACAACCTGTTAATTTTTCATATTCTCCTTTATCTTCCAAAGATTCAACTTTCCATTGGAATGATAGGCTACAAATAAAACTTTGTGGCCCAAGTCCACTGGTTTTTCTGTCTAGAGTTTACATTCCCTAATTAAAGATGCTTCACCTTTTTTTCCTCCCCATCTACGATTTCTCAAATCATGTTCCTTGGGAACATTATCCTCAAGCTATTAATTAAGGTGCATATGACAAAAAATTCTGTGGTTAAGTTTGGGAAGTTAGGTAAACAAAATTAAACAGACTCATTTATTACAGAAATTTTCAGAAACTTTGATATTATCACTTGGATTGTAAAGGAACATAGGGTTTTGAATAGTATGTAGACTTGCATAAGTTACATAGAAGTATATTACTGCTCAGAAACATCGTAAAGGGGACCAATATTTTACAGTGTGCACTTTAACAAATACTATACCTGTCCCTAGTAGGGTAAAAGTACTCACAGTTGATGTCTGAGAAGTCTATACAGATATAAGAAGACTGAGAATATTATGACCACCCAGACATAGCCACGTTGAGTACTGAGTCTATTGCCTTTAGAACTGAAACATCTAAAATATTAGGAAGACTATGAATTAAAAATGAGATCAAATAAAAACTGTTAATGGATTACTTATTATAGATCTTTCTCAATGAGGAAATGACTTTCTAATTTTGTATGAAGTTTCCTTAACATTATGGTAGTAAATTACTTGCCCCATAAAATGGAAATATTAAATTCAATTAGTTGTTGGTAATCACTCAACAGCTCTTCTATCAATCTGGAACTTGAACTGCTTGGTTGCTAAAATGAAAAGAAAGGAAAATATACACAGATACTAAAAGACCACTGAGCAAGCATTTTTTTTTTTTTTAAGTAATAAAAACACAACACTACTAAATAAATTCAACAAAAAGGTTTGTTAATACTTTATTAGTATTTTCTAATGGACAGAACATAACGCAAACCAAATAAAAACTTTAATCCTCTTTTTAGTTCAATAAAAATAACTGACATTCTGATTGTTTCTTCTTTGTTAAAGAAGGAAAGTATTGATAGGTTAGGCACACAGTTGACATTTACTGTACAATGATATGCACAAGTTATCTTTTAACAACTATAATACTAAGATGTGCTCTTTATATTTTTCCCTTGTAGTACAGGAGCCATGCTCCTATAAGCAAAATTTACTAATAACAAAATAATTTTACAAGGAGTGACAAAAAAGACTTTTAAAACAAGTCCTTAAATAAAAGGATGCAGCAACAACGGAATGTAAGTTGTTGGGTTAAGAAACAGTTTAAACTAGATCTCAAAACATTAAAAATTCATTTATTTTACAATTACTCAAATACACATGCATTAAATGAAAATATTGCACAAAATTAAAATTTTAAATTGTGAAATTTATATTGTTCTTAATTTTTAAAAAATTGATACACTTTCTGGTAGCACTTAACTGATTTTCCCCCAAACACCAGCAGCACAAACTTAAAATGAGCGAACTGAAATATACAAGAAAGTTTTTAACTTTAAAAAAAAAAAAAATTAAGGCTAACCAAGTGCATCCATTGGTCAATGGCACAATTTTTCAGCAACTATTCAGAACACCCTAATCGTAGGAAATGCCCAGCTAAGCACTATATTTAAATCATACAATCAATTTTTAGGTGAATAAACTAGAAGTTAGTAGTGACGGTTTCTAAATAGTTTATATGTTACCTGAAAAATCAGAAAACCCAAACAAAATATGATTAATTTTGAAGGTTCTTGCCTAAAGGCACCACTGACTTAAAAACACATTCAAAAATCAAATATCCGAAGACTTAAAGCCTCTTCAGGTATATATTTATATATGCAATAAATGCATTAAATGTAATAACTTTATTAAATGTAGTACACTGTACTTGACATGGATTAAATATTTTACATACAGCTTGACCAAGTCATTAAGACGTATCTCTAATTTTAGCATGACCACAGCTCTCTCTGATGTAAAAACACAGATGTGCGTGGAGAAGACGCACAGCCATTTACATAGACTCTACCATTTGACATTTCTGCTTCTGAAATATAAACTCTTTCAACAAAAATTGTTTTAAAAACCCACTTACTCATATAGTTTTTGGTATGACTGCAGTTACCTTGCAGGGCTCTGTTATGAAAAGTTGCCATTTTGCACGACCTTTCTTTCCCTGGTTGATGGCCAACATTCCTCACATTATCTGGAAATGCTTTTCACAGGTACACACTAGGCTCTTACATGAATTCTTGTTTACTCTTAGACTTATTTATGTCAAAAATATACTTGAAATGGGCAAGGGTATATTTGAAAATCATTGCACTTGTGGCCATGCCGATGCTTCCCACAGACGTGTTTCACAAATCCTCACTTTGAAAGCCTGGGGCATCGGGAGGGACCTCAGCAGGGAGACACAATGAGAAGAAAAAATACTATTTCTTCCATCAGAGTCAGTAAGGATCTTTTCTTATTTCCAAGTTGCAATGAAAGGGATTTCATTTATGTAATTCTTTAGACATGCAACACATACTGAATATATGCATACTGTAAGTATGCACAACAGCATCATTAATAAATATGATTATTATTATAAAGCTTTAAAGGAAGGCTTTATTCTGTTATTAGGCTTCACTCTGTAAGTAGGACCTCAGTGAAAACAAGACAGTAACATCTTGTTCCAATCTTAAAGCTCCCAAATAACTGGGATACTGATACTCTGTCCCTTTATCTTAAGCACCCAGACGTTCTTTTAATACCAGGATCTTGGCTCAGTGGTCTGATAAGTAGCTTCACTATTTTAAGGTTGTAGTGTTAAGTATTTTTAAAACAAAAAATGCTGACATACCCAAACCCTTAGTCAGTGTAAGTATTTAAAACTATGCAGAAATCCTGCATACAAGGGATACGAAGACTTCCAAGATGGACAAATGGAGAACGAGAAACTATAAGAAATGCAGAGGCTCCAAAACTGGAAAAGGTAATTTGTTGTTGTTGGTATAAAATTATTTTAGGAATTTAAATGTATACACCCAGGGGTTTTGCCAACTTGCTTTATTTAGTAGAATTTTACATTATGCAAAATATAAATAAAAGCATATTTTAAAAAATATTATAGTTCTGTTTTCATTATTTTCATATATACACAGTAATAGAATTAAGAATTTGTATGTTTACATATGACTACTAAGCTCATTTAATCCTTTGATTTGCTACTTTTGCAATCGCCTAAGGTATGTCTAGATCACACAATTTAAAATTATCATATTGTAACTTTCAAGAGTGTGTTTTTTTTAATTTCCATATTTTTTAAAACAACAATGTATTTGGCAGTTCTTTCAAGAGATTATACTCCTTATTGTATAATCCGTAATCTCTTAAAGATAAAGAAACCTGTAATAATTTTGAAACTTAAGTGAGAACGCCACTATATGCTTCTTTTTGCCCACAGAATACCAGAAGAAAATTTATGATTGAGTACCATAAGAGCAAAATAGAGCCCCAAAGCATATAAGAATCAATTAAAATTTGTTTTATACCAATGAATAACAAATCCAATCAAATTCTGGTTTTGATTGGTTTTATTTTATGTCACAAAACTGTGATTAGGATATAAGGTTACTTCATACTTTAAGGGCATCCTGTCACTTTCCCCAGACCTGAAGCAGATGTTGCAAAGATCATTCGCCTGGCTAATCCACATTATATCAAAATTCTGATAAAGACCTATAAAATTATTATGCAAAAAACAAATCCCTCCAAGTCATACACTGCTCAGTTTCCCAGTGTTAAACAAATTAGCCAGTTTATCTGTGAACCATTGTTTTGTGCTTTCCTTAGCTTTCGTATATACATTCTGGCACTTTGTCATTGCTGGAGAATGCTGATTAGGCTGAAATGGAAGAGACCAACGTCATTCTTGCTTGAGAAGGGGGCAGTATCCTCTCAATGCTGCAAAAATATGCACCAAATCATTTAAGACACAGAAATCTCTCTTGGTAGTGGCTGGATTACAGACGAGGATGAGAAGAACCACAGTCCTATGGATGTATTAATAACTATTTTGAGACACTGAAAGACTGGTGCGACACAACAGTATATGAGTTAAGCCCCAGAAGATCTGTCCATATTATTAGTCTTGGACAAAATGAACACCAGCTTCATAGATTGGAGTGTCACCTTTTCTGTAAAGAAGGCGCTTGAGTAGTCTGAAGTTTCTGTTTATATTTCTGTATCTGCTTTGACCGTGAATGCAGTTTGTTGAAAAGTTCACGAAATTTATACTGTGGAAATAAGGTTTCCAAAAAGCCTTCCAGGAAGACATAAACCATTCTCCTATTTAACTGGTTGTGCTGAAACATTTCAAAAACACGAAGAATACCTTTCCGTGTTGTCTCAGCCCCAATAATGTGCTTCAGTTCATCTAAATCAAGAGGGGGAAAATAAACATAATTCATTACTCATATAAAGGAAACGCAAGGCCTAAACTATGCTCTAAGTTAAATAAAGTATATTAAATACATAGTTGAGTAATACAGGAGGTATTCAGTTAATGTGTTTTGGCTACATATTATAACTGAGACTTAAAATTTAAACATCTGCAGGCATCCACCTACTTACTAGACACTGGGGATGATAGAGCAAAGGAAAAATCAGGATCTGGACTCAGAAACCCCACGTTAGAGTTAGAATCCCTTAATACCTATATGGTACTTACCCATCCTGAGTTTGTTTCCTTATCTGTAAAATGGGGATTTACAATAAGCAAACTCTTATAACTGTAAGAATTTAGAGAACTTTAATGAAATAATGTGAAAAGTAATCCACAAAGTCTGAAACACTGTACAAATAGTCTTAATGTATCTAATGCACAGTGAGAAATACTATAAGGAAATGATGTACGAAAGCTGATTAATGAAAAGCTTGCAATGGTCAAAGTGCCATGAAAATACCGTAAGTATAAAGATGTTTACAGAGGGGCGAATTTCACATGGTACACAACAAGGAAAGGCTCTCTGTGTGGAAGTGACGAGTGAGGTAGACTTTGCTACCTGAGCAGGATGTTGACAGGCACAAACAGATGATGGTTTACCTTTGGTGGAGAGAGCAATGAGCAAATGAGCCCTAAGTGGAAAAAACAAGGCAGTTCAAAAAATGGGAGCGCTACAATTCAGCTAAATTTTAAGATTCTTTGAGAAAAAAAAAAAAAAAAAAAAAAGTGGAGAGAAGAATGGAAAAAAGTGCTGTGGCTACCAGAGTGAGCCAAGTTTGGAGTTTACTCCTAGGCAACGTGAAGTTATTACAGATAACTGAGTAAGGGAATATGTGATTATCCTTAATGATTTATAATCAGGACCCTAATAGCAGTAAATGCTATGTAATTGTTTTCAAAAGAAACATACAACTTCCAAAAGGTATGTCTCTAAGTAGGAGTAATATACAATTTACAGCAAATGGCTTATGAATGTACTAAAAACAGGTGAGGGATTATGTATATATAAAAACATACACCTTTGTACTTTCCCTCACTTCCGTTGAGTCCTCACACAAGTGTCCTCTCCTCTCACAACAGCAACTCACTAGCACTACTGGTCTCAGCGTTCACCAAGAGCTCACATCCTAGCTTTTCTTTATTGCTCTGCCTTCTGCCTATGTCTCCCTAACAGAATGCAAGCTCCAAGAAGGCAGAGATTCATGCAAAGTGTGGCACATGATACGCTCTTAATAAATATTTACTGAACAAATGCAATAAAGTTTCTTTCAGCTATGTAATTCAGTCTACAGCACAACTGGTTTACTACTAAATAGTACATTAAATAATATTTCATCCTAAGCTACTGTTTATTTCTATTTTCCTAAGATGTTATTTCTATGATTTTTTTTTCTCCAAATGCAATAGTATAATCTACAAGGCAGAATTAATAACCATTTGGCAGACCTCCAACTTAACTGATGGAAGAGAGATTTTTAAATCTATGATGAAAATATAGTTTTAAAGAAAAACAAAGAGGAAAAAAACGTTAAATGATGTTAAAGAACTTCACAAATACTCCTTCTCCATTCTCTATATTCATAATTAAAATGTGGAGAAGAAATATCTAAGTATTTTCAAAGATATCCGTAACTAAAGAAGGAAGCAAACATCCATCCAGTCACACAAAACTGCTTTTCATATGACATAGGCTCTCTTGTTGAGAGAAGTCAAAATGGGGACAAAGTGAGTCTAAGTTAGTGAGATAGCAGTGTTCTAAAGTAATGCAAATTAGAACAGAATGCCACTATGTATACTTTCTTTGGAATCATGTTTTAATAGAGATTAATGGACCAAACAGTTGTTACTATGTAAAAGGAATCTCTGAAAGAATTTGTTTTTTCTCTGAAGTAGGACAAATATTCTTCCTGGAAACCTCACATTTCATGTTCTTTTATTAGCGCTTTCATCTGTTACACAGGATATTTATCAACTTTATTCTCAAAATGGTTCAAGGCAGCAAATGAAGTGGTTAAAGGCACCACTATTTTTCATGACTGAAAGCAGTGGCTTTTCCAGTTGCTGAGCACAGAGCAGAAGCTGAACAGTCACTTATTATACTAGCTCTGAACCTGGGGTAGCTTCTTTAACCTCTTTGAGCTGCTGTTTCCACCCATGGAAAGCTGTGATGTTAACAGTGCCTAGCTTCTTAATACTGTTATGAGAATTAGTAAACAATATATGAGAAATGTGTAGCACAATAGCTGATATACGGCAAGTCATTAACTGGTAGTTACTATAATCAAAAGGCAGCTAAACCAGCATGCTCAATGCCAAAAATTCAGAAGAACTACAAATTAATAAGATTTTTATCAAACATGTTCACTCACCTGGCATAATTGAAAGTAATTTAGTTTTTCCTGCAACTCTTGTTCTCATTCGAATAGCTTTATCTCTGCATGGAACAGTCTCTGCTAAAATGCCATTTGGCCAAAAGGCATCTCTATTTAAGAAAATCAAATAAATCTTGTAAAAACTTTCATTTTCAAATGATACAAGTTAGCACAATTATTCCAATTTTCTACAGAAGACACAAATGTTAACAGAAAGTGGAAACATTATGAAATTTTATAGATGTATGATATTCAACAAACAGTAACTAAGAGCAGGATTCAATTTTAAGTGTAAAGGGATATACATTGGAAAAGTAACAGATGAATTCTGCCCTAGAATAACTCACAAACATTAACGAGTGATAAAGATAGCAAAATGGAATATATAGGCGACTACATTTAAACTCAAAGTAGGCCTCTGATCTCAATGAGAATGAAATCTTATCCAAATACAACCTCATAATATCTTGAATTTGGATACCTTATAGTTAATCTCCCTTGGTGCCCCTATAACTTAGCCAATTTGAACCAATCCTGCACACACACTTACAGCTAGCCTTTTTACAACATTCCTTTCACATTCATACCCTATTCTCCCTCACTTGGTGTGTCTGATTTCTATTCTCCAATTCACAGGCCAAAGATAGGAAGTGAACACAATACCTGGGAATTTGGGCTGAGGGAGACAGACTTCCCACCTGGGAATTTGGGCTGAGGGAGACAGACTTCCCAGAGCAGTTTTTCTTAACTTTGACTGAACATTAGAAACACATGGGAGCTTTAAAATCTTAATGTTTAGGCCTTCTACTGGATTAATTAGTAAGTTAGGCTCCTAAAATGGGACCCAAACATCACTATTTTTTAAAGCTCTCCAAGTGATTCCAACATGCAGCCAAGGCTGGGAATCAGTGCTCCAGAGTAAACATCACTACCCTACCCTGAAATGGAATGTACATGTGCCATAGCAGGTGGTCAGACTTTTGGAAACAGTGTGGGGTCGGGAGGAGAAACTCAGCTTCAGATTAAAGAAATTTGCTGTTCCCTACTTTACAGCATGTGAGCCTTTGGACAAGCCGCTGAACTTCTCTAATCCTCAGTTTCCACATAATAAAAAATGGAGACAAAAATTCGTATCTCATAAAATAGGATAAAATCAGAAAGTGTACATAAAGCAGTAGGTGCCAAGCAAATAATTAAGGTTCAATATTGACAGCTCCTTTCTTGCTTCTGTTACTTCAAAGTACATGATACCATGAATATGCCTTATCTTTCACTTTTAGAAAAGAGGTTCATTTCTGGACTACGCCATGCTTTCCTTAAAGGGACTGTATTTTATCTCAGTCCTGATGACTGGCAAATTACTAGGCACAGAGGAGAGGCGCAGGGTATTTGTATAGGATGAACATATGAACTGGAGTACCACTGCTCTTGATTTATATTCTTTTTGGAGGTTCAAATAGTTAATAATAAGTCCAGAGCCAGAGATGAACATATTTTTTTTTAATTTTCATTTAAAATCAAGGATTTCAATTATTTTCAAGTCACATTACTATGATAAAATGTAATCAGTATCTTAAAGATTATTCTTTAACACTTTTTTCAATTCTGGTTTTAAAAAAACACAGATCAAAGGGTCCATGGAACAAATGTTTATTATAATTCTTACAAGTCTTTTTGTTCATCAAAAAGGAAGAAAACACAGAAAAGAAAAGCAGTGTAAGTTAATTAGTGATAACAATGCTAAACACTGTACTACCTGAAAGAAGTGACTGTGTCTTAAGATATACCTGAAACGTTTCACTAAGTCCGCTACTTGCTCAGGTGAGGTCATCCAATCAACATGGTCAACTATTTTTCTGAAAGTAAGGAAATTTAAATGAGTAGGGTGAAAATTTTAGAAAATATATAAAATAAGGAAACACTACTTTCATGGAGTAAGCAACTTAGTTTGTATGTAAATTATCTGTAAAAACACCAGGCTGTTTTAATGATCATAAAAGGCCCAGAGATGAAAATTCTCCTACAAAAGTTGAGCAATCTACTTCCAGAAGTACAAGTTTAAAAGCTAAGTAAGAACAGTTCTAAGGGATGAAAAAAAAAAAAAAAAAAAAAAAAAAAAAAAAAAAAAAAACCCTGGTACCTGTTAATAGTATCACCATAAGTGGCTCTAATAAGCTGCTGAAGTAGGTTTTTGATATTCCTTCGCAACCACTGATTCCTCTCTTTTAAGTCAAATACTTCATCCATAAGAAGCAGCATTACTCTAAGTGGAATATTGTCATCCACCTGACAAAATAGGGGAAGAAATAAAAAAATGTTTGAGTTACCTATCTATTATGAATGGCTACTGCTGCTGCTTTTACAAAATTATTGCCACTATTTCAGACATCAGAGAACAAGTTGTATTATAGTCTTCATGACCTAACATTTCAGTCTAATTTTTAAAATATATGTTCTTAATAGCCAAATTATGGAAAGAGCTTAAATGTCCACTGATGAATGGATAAAAAAAATTGTGCTTTACATACACAATGGAGTACTACGTGGCAATGAGAAAGAATGAAATATGGCCCTTTAGCAGCAACATGGATTGAACTGAGGGGGAGTGGTGTGCATGTTAGGTAAGTGAAATAAACCATACAGAGAAAGACAGATACATATAGTTTCTACCGCTCTTGCTGTGGATCTAGAAAGCTGCTTTGAAAGAAACCATGTGGGGAGGGAAGGAAAAAAAAAAGGGGGTGGGTTAGAGTGGAAGAGGGCCAAAGCATAAGAGACTCTTAAAAACTGAGAACAGGGGCGCCTGGGTGGCGCAGATCCGGTTAAGCATCCGACTTCAGCCAGGTCATAACCGTCTCTCTCGCGGTCCACAGGTTCGACCCCACCCCGTCAAACTCTGAAACTGTCTTTCAAGCTCCCTAAAACCCTCTTCAGTGTATCTGTCATCTCCTCTCCCTCCCATTCTCTCCTCTGTCATGTCTGTCCATCCTCCATCGCAGTGCTTTTGCTCAAAACTATAAACTAAAGTGTCATAGAGAAATTAGAGTGAGGCAAGAAGGGAAGGAAGGAAAGGAAAAAGAAGGAAGAAGAGAAATGAAAGTAAATTAGAAGAGAGAGTAAAGTAGAAATTAGGAAAGTGAAAGAGAGTGAGAAGAAGTGATGATATAAAATGGGGAAGAAGAATTAAGTAGAAAGAAGTGGTAGAATTGGGAGGGGGGGGTGGGGGGGTGGAGGGAGAAGTATTGATGGGTATCAGGAGAATTTTCTTTTTGGGATGAGCACTGGGTGTTGTATGGAAACCAATCTGACAATAAGCTTCATATATTGAAAAAAATAAAATAAATGTTTTTAACAGTCATTTTGACACAATATAAAATTTCACAACCCTACAATTCCAAGGTGGTAGAGAAAAAAAAAAAACTTCTTAAAGTGAATCTATGAAGTCCTGGGAAGAGAAAATTTGGCTCTTTTACTTTTAGTAGAGTCTGTACTAGTCTGATAAGGTAAATGCTATTCCCTTTGCCTATTTTCTGGAGCATCTTTTACAAGAGAACAAAATATTCTCAACATTTCTCCTTATTTAATAGAACAAAACACAATCTACACAAAATAACATGTTTTCCTTTGTTAGTGAGTTGTCTGTATTTAGGTATTTTAAGAAGCTGAAATAAAATCCAGTATATAGCTAAGTTAATACTACAAAAGGCATATTTCACTACATTTCTAAAATTTTAACTTTTAACAAGTAAAAATCTGTACACTTTTATTATGGGAATATGCAATTAATGGTATAAAAATAAAGGTAAAAGCAAAGACAACTAGAAAAAAGTTAAAAAAAGTTTAAAAAAAGGTAAAAAGTAAATGCAACTAGAATGTTTTGATTCCAAAAATACATACAAAGCAAAGATTTAGAACTATAATAAAACTGCATATAAATGCCAGTAATTTTATAATACTTTCATCACCAACATACTCTAATTATTTCCTCATCCATGTTGTAACTTAAATCTTTAGGAAATTCCACGAGTTATATATTTTTCACTGTCATGCTGTCAACATTTTCTTAGTGCACCTTTCCTTTCACATGTTGAAAACTCATAGCTAAACCAAACAAGGGGTGGCTGAGGTTGGTGAGGGGCATGGCTGGTGGGGAAAGAGACCAATTTCACTCCTGAGGTAAAATAAATATTGCTCTAGTCTCTGATCAAGTATACTCACGAGTTTGGAACAACATGGTAATTCTAATAAATACCTAAATTGTAAAAACCTCTAACAGAAGGTATGATGTTTTGGATATTATACCAGCATAAATCATAACAAAACATTCTAAAATGAATTTTAAAAAGCAAATAATAGATTATCTTTAATACAGTTTACTATAAGAATTTCAATGTGAAACTGAAGGGAGGTAATTGTAACTTGAAAATAAATCTGCCTAAGAAAACAGAATACAAAGCCCAGACTCAAACATATATGATAATCTGATTTGTCACAAGGGAGAAATATAGGACACATGGGAAAAGAGGGCCTTCTCAGTAAATGGTGCTTGCGTCAACTGGACCCCTACCCTCTTTCCATACACAAAAATCAATCCTAGATGAATGGGGAATCTAAATTTTTGCATGATAAAATAAAAAAATATTTTTAAAGAAAATCATAGGTGATCTCTGTGACCTTTCAGTAGGCACAGATTATATATATACATTACACAACAGGACACAAATCAGAAGATATTCACAATACACAAATACTTATATCTAACAAAGAACCACTATTCAGATTATATAAAGCACTCTTGTTAATCAAAAAGACAAAGACAGCCAAGCCAACAGAAAAACAGAGGAAAGAGCTAGACACACAAGACAAGACACCCAAATGGCCAATAAACATATGCAAAAAGGTTCAACATTTCAACAGTCATCAGAGAAATGGAAACCCACATGAGATACAACCCAAGTGGCTAAAATTTAAAAGACATAACATATTGACTGTTGGCAGGCTATGGAGCATTGAAATTCTCATGCATTGCTGGTAGCAGTGTAAGCAGCACGAACACTGTGGAAAACTATTTGACAGTATCTATTAAAACTGAATTTATGAATACCCTCTAACCAAGCAATTCCATTCCTGGGTATAGACCCAACAGAAATGTATACTTAATTTTTTAATCAAATGACATGTACAAGAATGTCCATAGGAGTACTACTCATAATACAACAAATAAATTATACTATATTAACAAAATGGAATACTGTAGGTCGACAAGAATGAAGAAACTACAATCACACAAAACAACATGGAAGAATATCACAATGTTGAGCAAAATAAGCCAGACTTAAAGGAGTACATACCTTACTGTTTCATTTATATAAAGTATAAAAGCAGGGTAGAAGTCAGGATAGTGATTATCCTTGGTGGGGAGAGGATAGTGACAGGAAGAGAGCATTAGGGGCTTTCTGGGGTATTAACATTCTGTTTCTTGTTTAGAGTGATTACATGGACATGTTCAGTTTGTAAGAATTCATCAAACTTAACACATATAATATATACACATTACTGATAGGTATACATATTATACTTTGTTAACAAGTTAAAAAGATTTGCCAAGTATGATTTCAATTACAGTTGAGTACTACCAAAAACAAAATTAACTCACAGTATCATCAAGTTGAGCTGAGACCCGACAATGTTCAGGATCTGAATCAGTCTTAGGAATTAAAGGAGGCACCTAACGTTTAAAAACAAAAACAAAAACAAAAAACAACAAAGTAAACACACTAAAGAAGACAGTGAAAGAACACAATACAATAATCAATCAAAATGAGCACTAAGCATAATAATAGTGTTTAATTTTATTTTGGGGACAATACATAAGCAAAATTTACATAGTATTAAAAAGTATTAACAATCTACAATTAGAAACCAAATGTTAAAGTGTGATTACTTCTTTACCAAAAGATATTTTTTCCTTTAAAAGAAAAAATGGACTTTTGAGTTGGAAGGGGAGATTATTTAGTCAAACTCCTATACTTTTTAGAAGAAATTAAAGCTAAGAAAGGTTAAATGATTTAAAAACCAAATGTTCGTAGCACAGCCAGGGAACAAAATTCCAATCTTCTTTCTTTTACCATAGGGAGCTTAACAGTATATTAACAAGCTTAAAAAATGAATTAACCTGTTGTTAGATAATATAAGTTATGGGGAAAATGGACAAATTATCATTTGTCAGCATGACAGGAATCATCAAGATTACCTATAACCCCTTCATGTTACTAGTAAGGAAAAGGGACCTGGAAAAGCTCAGTGAGTTCTGTACAAAGTCATATGGGTAGTTATCAGCAAGACTGGCACTGGAAAATCCTCATTTTCAGTGTTAGCATTATGTTCCCATGATTAGAAACAAAGATAAAGCATCAGAGAAAGTATGAGAATAAATAGAAAAGTATGGATTGAGATACACATTATTTTAGGAGTTGTCTCTTAATGAATTTCTGTTATTTAAATATACATACATACATATATATATGATAGATATTAGTTAGATCTGACACATGATCTAACAAATAGAAAACTCTAATAGTTACATCCTTTCTTTTATAGTCTTGATCATATCCTTAAACAAGTAGGTCAAAATTATAAAAAGTATAAATGAGAAAATAACAACCTATTTGGTCTGCTACCTGTATTTGCTAATGTAATGAAAAAGTTTCCTAGGAAACTCTTCTAATACCACTCACTGGTATATAAAAATAAGGTATAGCCTCAGAGATAGATAACTGTGAGACTTTTCCTCCCTCTGATCTAGCCACTTGATCATGTGAATCAGGAGAAATTAGGCTTTATGTTTCCTGATGAATACTAACATAGCTAATTTGCACAATAGCGCTTACTTGCTTTGTTTTAGAATAGCATCATAAAATAAAAACGGCATAATAGAATATAACAGTATAAATAATGTTAACATTACTGGCTTTTACAATTCTACCACAGCAGAGCTTGAGGAATGACTGGATTATAGAGTATCCATTTCTGATAAGAATTTATTCTCTTTAGTTTTTTTTATTATTTATAAGACTGTATGTCTAGAAGACTGTGGACTTCTGAAAAGAAATAAGGTAAATCTAAGCAGGAGCTCAATAAATCTTAGTTAACTTAAAAATAGTTTGCTGTAGGTATTACTGAAAACATCTTCTTACCTTGAAAAATGATTGCTTTATGTCTTGGCCTAATCTTTCTGACATTTTGCCCATGTTGTCTGACATTTTAGTCATTCCCTCTGCCAAGCTATCAGGGAGGGATTTAACTGCATTTGAAACATTCCTCATAGAATTTCGAAGTGGATTTACAAAAGTGTCCATCTAAGGGGAAAAGATATCATACCATGACTTCATTTTATCAGATTTGTTACTTAACTGAGAAGCATGGGAAAAACAGAATCAATACACAAGAAGAATGCAATCATTTTCTAGTCTATAATATCTCATTATATTTTAAAAGTACAGAACTGTTGTCTTCAAAATGTATGGTCTTAAAGCTGTATTTTCACACACAAATATGATTAAAAGCTTGGGGGTGATGAGGCTATTGCTAGAAAATATAAGCTTTCGCTTATATAAAAATAAAATACACTGTTAGAGATACTAAGTTTGGCTGCCTTATTAAGGAAATCCTGAAAAAAAAAAAAATTTTTCCCAAAGAGAAATTAACGCAAATGGAATTAGCCACAATGTACTTCTGCTACAATTCAAGGCAACAATAACATAGACATTTTGAGGAAACACTGAAAAATAAACAATTAGATAAAATAAGCAGAAAGCTCAAGTAATTAACAACTAAGATCTTTTTTTTTTTTAAATAAGTTTTAGATTACATTACATGCTGTTTAAATCTATACAGGGAATATGGAATCCTTTAGTAAGACAGAATAGAAGAAGTATAAAAGAAAATGTGATGAGGAACATAAAAAGGAATAATCTCCAGAGGGCTAGGAAGCATTAAAATTGACATTCTGATTATACAAATGTTAGATAATTTCAATTAAGAAAGGGAGAAATATCTAGAAATCAAAATAGCCTACATATGGTACTGAGATTTTTAATAGAAACAAAAAAGAAAAAAGGGACAGAAAACCAAAGTCATACAAAAAACTAAAGAATATTTTCCAGAAAATGTGAGTCACATGAAAACTATTGCAGAAACAAATTATGTTCCCTGAAAAAAAAAGAAAAAGAAAAAGAAAAAGAAAAAGAAAAAGAAA